GGGGGAGCAAGCTCACACGCCTGGAGACCCACAGGGGGTCGGCGGATGACGGGAAGCGCCCTTGGCGTGGACCGTTTGTTGGTGGTAGAAATTAATGACGGGGTACGGGGCGCACTTGGAAACTGCGCTGGCGGATGACGGGGAGCGCCTCCGGCGTGCACCGTTGGTTCAGGGGCTTAATTTTTTCTAACTAAAGGGTACCGATCGCATCCCTCACCTCGCTGGCGGATGACGGGAAGCGTCTTCGAGGTACGAGAAGCAAGCGGGACGTTCTGGCTGAATTTTTGAGTATATATATATATATATATATATATATATCTTTATATCTATGGGTTGCCGCGCTGCACGGGGATATTTCGTTGGCGGATTCCCCAAAATGGCCATTTCGCTCGAGACATCCTCCAAAAATCGAGGTGTGGTCTGCCGTGCTCCTGTGTGGTCTGCCGTGCTCCTGTGGTCTGCCGTGCTCCCCACAGGAGCACGGCAGACCGCGCGCAGGAACCGAGAGGAGCACGGCAGACCAAGACGAGGAGCACGGCAGACCAGGCACTGAAACCGAGAGGAGCACGGCAGACCAAGACGAGGAGCACGGCAGACCAGGCACCAAGAGCGCCCTCAAGACGACGGAAAGGATGACCAAGACGAGGAGCACGGCAGACCAAGACGAGGAGCACGGCAGACTATGCCCTAAGAGTGCCCTCAAGACGGCCGAACAATCATCAAACAAACAATGAGTCTAACGTCGTCTTGGAATCGTTTTTGAGGGCATCAGTACGGCCCCCCAAAAACAAAATCGGCCCAAAGATGACCCGCAGAGTGCCCTCAATACGGCCGACCATGACGATTTCGCTGGGGACGTGTTCAATAAATTAAGAGTGTATCAGCACCGTCTGCTGCAACAACGCTGTGCTGGTCTGCCGTTCTCCTGTGGTCAGCTGTGCTGCTCTGCCGTGCTCCTGCGGTCTGCCGTTCTGGTCTGCCGTTCTGGTCTGCCGTGCTCCTGTGGTCTGCCTTCCTGGTCTGCCGTGCTGCTGCCGTCTGTCGTGTTGCTGCGCTGTGCCGTGTAAGCTGATAAACCGGTCAGACCGATGAAGAAAACGAGAGTCGGGTTACAACGGCTACGCAGATTTAAACTGCTAGTCCAAAGGCTCTCCAGAGGACCCCAACATCTCCCAAGCACACCCCGAGAAGTCCATCATCATCATCATCATCATCATCATCATCATCATCATCATCATCATCACCATCATCATCACCATACTCATACTCATACTCATCATCATCATCCTCCTCCTCCTCATCATCATCATTATCATCATCGTACGCATCACCATCACCATCAGCAGCAACATGATCATCACCAACAACAGCAGCGTCAATGACATGATCTGGTCTGCTATGTTCCTATGGGCTGCCGTGCTGGTCTGCCGTGCTGGTCTGCCGTGCCGGACTGCCGTGCTCGTCTGCCGTGTCGGTGTGTTGTGCTGGTCTGCCGTGCGGGTCTGCTGTTCTGGTCTGCCGTGCTGAAGCTGAAGCTTTGGGGGCTTAAAGCCAGAGAAAGAGAGAGACATAGAGAGATAGAGAGGGAGAGAGATTCTCTAACTAAGGGGTACGGGCTCCATCCCGAAACTCGTTGGCGGTTCTCTAACTAAGGGGTACGGGCTCCATCCCGAAACTCGTTGGCGGATGACGGGAAGCGTCTTCGAGGTACGACAAGCAAGCGGGACGTTCTGGCTGAATCCTTGAGTAAATATATCTTTTCTTTAACTATATGGGTTGCCGCGCTGCACGGGATTTTTCGTTAACGGATTCCCCAAAATGGTCTGGCGTGCTCCTGTATGGTCTGCCGTGCTCTTGTGTGGTTTGCCGTGCTCCTGTGTGGTCTGCCGTGCTCCCGTGGGGTCTGCCGTGTCCTGTGTGGTCTGCCGTGCTCCTGTGTGGTCTGCCGTGTTCCGGAAAATTGGCCGTTTCGCTCGGGACGTCCTCAAAAAATCGGCTCCGGAGGGGACTCCGAAGCAGCATTATCTTGGAATCGCTCCCGGAGGGCCTCCAAACGGCCCAAGAAAGCCCCCGAAGGCCCCCCAGAGGACCCCCAGAGCGCCCCAAGAGACCCCCAAGAGGCCCCCAAGGGGCGGCCAGAGGCCCGCCAGAGCGCCCAAAACGCCCCAAGAGACCCCCAAGAAGCCCCCCAGGGGCTCCAAAGAGGCGGCCAGAAGTCCCCCAGAACGCGCGAAAAGGCTCCAGGAGTTCCCTGAGAGCTTCATATCGCCCCATAGAGCCCCCGAAGGCCCCCCCCGGGACTCCCCCAAGAGGCCCCCGAGAGGCCAGAGGCTACGACAGCCCCAAGAGCGTCCAAGATACCTCCAAGACGGCGCCGAAGCCAGGAAACGCAACAGGGATGTTCTCTGACGTTCTCGCCAATACGGTCTCTGACGCACGTGGTGGATAAAAAACTGCGCTTCCCGTTCTTGTCCGGTCAGGTTCCGGAAAATTTCAGAAAAATTGTCACTCCGCTCAAAAAGTCTGAACAAGACGCGCCCAAGACGGTCACCAGGGCTCTAAGACGGCCCAAGAGCGCTCCAAGACCGCCCTAGAGCGTTCCAGAATGCCTTAAGATGGCTTCTAGACGGTCCAAGAGAGCTCCTAGACGGCCCAGGAGGCCTTCAAGAGGCCTCCAAGACGCTTCAAGAGGCTTCGAAGAGGCCTCACAAGAGCGCCAAAGAGGCACAAACTTATGATTTTTGAATACTTTTGAAGGTTTTGGGGGTTCTCGCCTTTTCCGTTTCCCGACGCTCCAAGACGGCCCAAGAGGCCCGCAAGATCGCCCCAAGACGGCTCAAGAGGCCCCCAAGATCGCCTCAAGACGGCCCAGAAAGGCCCCCAAGACGGTCCCAAGAAGGCACCAGAAGGCCCCAAGGCGGCCCCAAGACGGCCCCAAGAGGCTTCGCGGCGGCCCAAGAGGCCGTCAATATGGCTCCTAGAGGGGGCCCAGACGAGGTACACGAACGGACTTTTCGGGTCCCCGGCCCCAAGTGCCCCCCCGGAAGGTCCAGGAGGCCCCCGGGAACCCCCCAAGACGCTCCAAGAGGCCCCCAAGAGGCCCCAAAAAGGCCCCCAAGATGCCCCCAAGACGGCCCCCAAAAACGGCCCCCAAGAGGCTTCAGAATTGCTTGTAAGAGGCCTACGAGAGACCGACCACGACATCCCAAGGCTCCATTACGAACGATGACGTGGGCAGCTTCGAACGCCAGAGCTCCCAGTACGAACGCTGGCGTCCAGAGCTTTGACGACAAACACTGCTATGAGCAAAAACGGCGCTTCCCGTTCTTGTGCGGTCAGGTTTCTGAAAAATGACAGTTTCGCTCGAGATATCCTCCAAAAATCGGCCCAAGAGGGGACTCCGCATCGACGTCGTGTTCGAATCGCTCTTGGAGGGCTTTCCAACGGCCCAACGGAGGCCCAAAAGACGCCCCGGAGAGCCCCAGGAGCGCCCAAGAGCGCCCCAAGAAGACCCCAAGAGACCCCCAAGAGCGCTTTAGGAGCCACCCAGACAGCTCACAAGAACCCCAAGACGGCCCGAGAAGGGCCAAGAAGGCCCCAAGAGACTCCCGGGAGCGCCCCAGGAGGCCAAGATGACGCCGAGACGGCCTAAGAAAGCTCCCACAGAACCCCACGACGCGCCCAGACAGCCCAAGAAGACCCCAGAAGCCCATCAGAGGACCCAAGGGGCCCCCAAGAAGCCCCCAACAGGCCCCAAGAGAACCCCGCGCGGCGCCAGGAGCAACGTCTTTTTCCAATTGCCTCGTACTGTCCTCTGTCGTCGTCGTCGTCGTCATCATCGCCCTCCGCATTCCTCCTCGCCCTCGTTCTCTTCGTCCTCGTCCTTGTGCTTCTCTTCCTCCTCGTTGTCCTCATGCTCCTCCTCGCTATCCTCACGTTCGCCACGTCGTCCTCGTCATAGACTCCTCGTTGTCCTCGCCTTTTCTTCTTCGCCCAATACGCCCATTAGACTACAGCGGCGCTTCCCGTTCTGGTCCGATCAGGTTTCATACGGAGTCAGGTTTCCTCCCGGATCCTTTGCGAACCCGAACGGTGTCCTGAGGATCCCAAGGATTTCTAAAGAATTGATCCAGATTCGCCGAGGATTCTTCATAATCCCAGGAGACTTCGAATTGCGTCTTGAGGCTTGCCACGTGTTCCCGCAGGATCTCCCGAGAAGCAATTCGACTGAAACAGTTCGTCAGGTGCAGAGCATCTTCTTGAATTCTGAAGCATGAGAGACCTCGATGATGTTTCCTACACCAGCCCGAGGTATTTGATATTCGCAGCGGTTGCTCACATTTAGTTCCCTCCTCCTTTCCACCACCACCCCGTCCGCCACCGCGCGCGCGCGCTTGACTGCGGGGCCTGGTTGCTAACACCCTGCGGCCGTGCCCCCCGAACCCACCGCCACTTGCTCGAATGTCTGTGTGCTTGCACCCTTTCTTCTTCCTCCCCTTTTTGTATGCGCTGTCTTCTTGGTCATTATCCTTCCTTGGCCCGGAGGCCGCGTTTTCCAGCAGTCGCGCTCAGCGATTCCAAGGATCGCCCCAGGGCGCGGAAGCTACTACCGTGTGCTCCCTCCCTTTTTTTCCTCTTCGCCCTCCTTGTCGACGGCCGCTTCTGCCGCTGATCAGCAATTGTAACCCCCAAGGGGTGGCGCACCGATTTCGTGACAACCGCGGTGCGGTTTCTGCATTTGCCTGGGAGTTGCCATTCGTGGCATCATCGTTGTGCGTCTCCGCTTTCGAGGTCCGCGCAGTTGTGGTCATCGATAGTGCCGCCAAATTGCCACCCCAGTTGGGGATACACCCTTCGAATCTCGAAGGGAACGACCTATATCCCCATCTAGGAGGCTAAATCGGCCAGTGGCGACGCCCCTGTCCTCGCCTTCCTCGTAATCCTCGTCCTCCTGCTTCCCCTGCCTCTTTTCTTTCCCGCTGGACCCCTCCCTCTCAGAGGCCGCCGGCCTGGCTGGGAACCACTCGAGCGTGCTGGCCACGCAGAACGCCCTCGCCGTCGTGCTCACGAACATGGGAAGGCCGGGCGGCTCGGGAGCCTCCCGCGGGCCCCACCGGCGCTCTGCGCGTGGCCGCGGCCGGACGTCTCTCCGTGCAGGAGAAGCGAGGGCAGGAATCTGCACGCACGAGATGGGCACGGAAAGAATGGGTACGATGCCCAACAGCGGATCTTGTTCATTTTGAACAGGGTTCGCTGTCCACGCCGCCGCGGCCTGTGTCCATTCGTGACAGGAGGCCGCCTGCCCAACAGCGGCCGCTGTCGGTTTGGGACAACATTTGCTGTTGGGCATTGTACCCATTTTTTCGGTACCCATTTCGGGCGTCCGAAAGGAAGGGGGGGGAAGGGGGACTGGAATCAAGTCGGGTCCGTCCCTCTACAGGAGGGATATTCAGATTAGTCCAAGAATCGTCTGGGACGTTTTTTGGTATTTAGGAGCATTTGGGGAGCATGTTTTGACTATCTTTTATTTGTCATCGAAAATCCCCCTGCAGGAGGACAGGCCCGAGTTAAGACTAGAAATAACCCAGGATGCGCCGACTATGCGGCATCACGCACCCCTCCCATCCCAAGTCCCCCTTCCCTCCACTGGGGGAAGCGCCACTCTGGAAGGACGAGCGCCCCATGTGCACGCAGCTCATCACTGCAGTAAGGCAATGGCACTGACCGGGTCGTGTCGAGTGGCCCAGCCCCACCCTGCCGTCGGGCTTGGCCTGTGGACCTGGGTCATCTTGGGATGCCTCCTGGAGGCCCCTTGGAGGCCTCCGGGGACCTCCTGGGGGGCATCTTGGAGACCTCTGGGGACCTCTTGGGGTCTCCTGGGGTCTCTTGGGGCCCCTGGGAGCCTTCTCGGAGGCCTCCAGGTGCGTCTCGGGGACCATCCTGGCATTGCAATTTTGAGGGGCCAGTTTGTATTGCCCGAGACATAGTGAAAATCAAGCTTTGTTAATGATAGTTGATTTCGGGAAAAGTCACACGGGGTGCTTCCGAGCGCTGCACGAAGCGCCCAGGAGCGTCCAGAATTTTGGGTTCGGGCCTCTACAGAAGTGTTCGCAATACTCGATACTGAGAGTTCCAATGGACCTGGCAACGCTCTACTCACACCTGCATGCTTGGGCAGCTGCTCTGTGAGGACGTCTCCTTGTCCCAACTTCGATGCGCGGCTCTTCGGCCGAGACCTTCGTGAGACTGCGGCGTGTCTGTCCATGATATTGCTGCTTCACTTCAAGGGATGGGGAACCCAAAAGGTACCGATACTGCTACTCCGCGGACCTCTCCCGAAGTGCGTTCTAACCAGGATTTCGAGGCAAATCCAGCAGTGGCGACGAGGGCCTCCCAGGAGACCCCAAAGGGGGAGAGCAAGCGAGGGGTAGAGGTAATTATGGGTACCTTTTCCTCCTCCGAGGGGAGGAGGCCGCCCAGACGCCTACCTCTTGGTCGTGCATCAGCATTCTGCGCGGTGCCTCGCGACACGGTGGCGCCTACAAATTTCCAGGAGTTGTCCAGCGAGGGCCCTGGTTCTGCAGGGAGAGTTGCCCGCAGTCGCGAGCGCGCAGCTGTGAGCGCTTCGCCAGACAGCCTGATAGTCTCAAGCGGCGGCGCCCTTTTGAGGCAGGGCCGCAGTCCACGTGCTCGCTTGCTGCCTAGTAGTCAACATCTGGGTGCAGAGAGCCTGCAGGAGAGAGCGAGCCCGATGGTTGAGCTGAGAAGCCCTCCGGATGTGAATTCGCGCGCGGAAGGGGGAGTCGAGCGCACGCGGCGCTAAGGCGAAAGCGAGAGCCACATGTTGGAAACGATGCGATGTCCATCCGGGCCAGTGCTTGCGATTGAAAACAAAGCGAAGGTGTGCGGGACTAGGGCGATAACCGCGGATGGACAAACAATTTTTCCCATCCGTGTAAATGCTTTGGACGTCCAAAACGAGTGCGCGCGACGCCTAGGCGAGAACCACATGTTAAAGCCACTCGCTCTCCATCCGTATAGCGATTGAAGCATGTTGAGGCGAATGAGCGTGGTGCGAATGCTGGAGCCACATGTTTTGAACACCCGCCTTCCGCCCGGAGGGGTGCCAGGAACTTCAAGTGTCAGCATCACAGGTGGACAGACAACCGCTTGCGAAACGCCCAGCCCGCGTTACCGACAGGCCTGATGGAGCGACGAGCGGAAGCTGCTCATCAGGAGACGAGCGCAGGAGGAGGATTGTGAATGTTTCTCGGGCAGGCGCGATGGTGCGGAGCGGGGAGGGAGCCGTCCACGAGCCAACGATGGATTGCAAAAAAACGAAGGATTGCAAAAAACCCAGGATTGCAAAAAAAAAAAAACACCCAGGGTTTTTTTTTGCAATCCAGGGTTTTTTTGTTGCAATCCTAGGTTTTTTTCTAATCGCAGGTTTTTTTGCACCTGCGCAGCGTGAGCCCAACAGGCTGGGCGGCACACGCCGCCGCGAGAGCCCAGCGCGGACGCCTCGTCTCGGCCGCGGCGCGCGCAGGCGCGCGCCCGCCGCGGCGGGGGCGCACCACAGGGGCGCCGCCGCCGGCAGCGGGCCCCCGCGGGGGCGGCGCCCGAGGCGAGTCGTGCCCGCCGTCGCTCCCGCCGCGCGCGCGGGCAACGGGCGGCGCCCAGGGGCGCGCGCAGCTGGCCTGGCTGGTCGGCTCCGTGGGGGCCACCCCGCGTCCTCTCACACCGTCTGGAGAAGGGGTCAGGCCTGGTGCCGCAAGAAGGTAGTTTTACTGCTATATGTATACATGGACCTAGGACAAAAAGGGTCAGAGGGTAGTTCTACCTCTGTAGACATATGCCCATAACAAGACCGGGTACCTATATCGTCAGGCCTGGAGAAGAATCATAAGATACTTCTGTCTCTAATTATACATACACCTACAACAAAACAGATGCGGGTCGGGCCGCAGAACTTGGCATCACCCAAGAGGGCAGCGAGGCAGGGTGGCTCGTGGAGAGGCAAGGAGTGTCGGCAGAAAGAAAGACGAGGAGAACAGCGAGAATGAGAATGAGCAGGGGGACGGGGAAGGACGGGGAAGAAGTGGAGGAGAAGGAGTAGCGGAGGGAGGAAGAGGAGGAGGAGGAGGAGGAGGAGGAGGAGGAGGAGGAGGAGGAGGAGGAGGAGGAGGAGGAGGAGGAGGAGGAGGAGGAGGGGGAGGAGGAGGAGGAGGAGGAGGAGGAGGAGGAGAGAGAACAGGGGGGGAGCACGACATCCCAAGCAGAATATCGATGTCAGGGGTCAGCGGCTGTTTGAGCTGCTCAAAGGTTGCCGGAGGCCGCCGACTTGTACGCCGTGGTGGTACGGGGGCGGCAGGCACCGCGGGGCTCTGGCCTTCCTCATCCTCGTCCTCCTCATCGAATTTCCTCCTCCTCCTCGACGCGCTTCGATTTCGTGGCGGCTGCAGGGGGCGCCGACCTTCAGCCAATGCGGCCCCCATCTTGGCTGGAACTCCTTGGGGGTCGGGCCCCGCCGCCGTCCGTCCACTAGAACTTCTGGAACTCATCGGCCACTAGGACTTCGGCGACCCCCTGGCGGTCCATGACCACCAGGGCCTCGGCGAGCAGCAGAAGACCACCGATCATCTGGGCGTCGATAGGCAGCTGGAGGGCACCAAGAGCGACTCCCGCAACCTCAGGAACAAGGATTTCGCTAGTCAGCAGAATGGTGCCATCGCCATCGCCAGTAATCACGGAAGTCGGCAGTTACAGGCTCGTAGATTCATCAAGGGTAGCAGCAGTAGACCTTTTCAGGGTAAGCGGATCTATTCGCTTATCTCTTGTTGTTGGCGGGCGTTTGTGTGAGAACCGATCCGCGTTCGGTGCTGTGCAAGTACCACGGGGATTGAGCACGTGCTGGAAGGCCCTGGATGTGGGCAAGGTCGCGTCAGACACCCTGGCCGTGCGGCACGCCCTGGACGTCATGGTCGTCGCGCAGTGCGACACGGCGGCCGACTCGTTCGTCAATAGCGCGCCGACGCGGAGCGCGCCCTGGCCAGCTTCGAGGGGGCCGCGCGCACACCTGGAAGGGGTGCACCCGCGGCGCCTCAGCTGGCATGAAGTCGGGCGTGTCCCTCTACAGGAGGAACGTTCAAAAATAGTCAAAAATAGTCTAGGGACGATTGTTCGACTGTCGTCTGTTTTTGTTCGAATATTGTTTTTCTGCGTATTTTGAAGGTGTCGCTCAAAATCCGCCTGCAGGGGGACATGCCCGACCTAAGACTGGCAGGACTCCCTGGAGGACACTGCGGGGGACCTGGCAGCATTCCCTGGATTCCCTCGAGATCACCGTCACGGGATTCCCTCGAGATCACCCGAGGGGAGGAAGGTCTCGGATTGCGTTTGGAGGGCGGCGACGCGGGCGGAACGCGCCGCGGAGCAGAGCCGCCACTTCGCCGTCTTGCCCCGGGACCTCTCAAAGGCCTTCGAGTAGGTCTCGCACAGCAAGCTGGTCGGGCTCGCGGCCCGCGCGGGCTTCCCCGCCCGCCTGTCGCGCGCGGTGCTGAAGCGCTTCGTCGCCAGGGACGGACTCGTCGTCGAGCCGATCTGCCCCGACGGCGGGGCGGCGGCGGGCTGCTTCTCCGCCGCGCACTGCCTGGTGGTCCACCTCGTCGAGGACTTCCGCCAGTAACAGCTCGAGCACGTCAGCGTCGTTCTGGCGGTGCACGTCGACGAGGTCAGCCAGGAGGTCGTCGGGGACACCGTCCAGGAGGTCGTCACCACCCTGGTGGGCGGGGCTCGGGATCTCCAGGCGGCGTTAGAGGGCAACCTGGATATGACGCTGGCGGCGGCCAAGGGCAAGCTCCCGGGCGGCTCGGGCGCGGTCACCTTGGCTGCCCAGCTTGCGCTCCGGTGCCATGGCCGTCCGAGCCTCGGCGCGGCATCTCGGCGCAAGCTTCCGCGCTGGGAGGCGGCGGAGCGGGCCGCTCGGCAGGCCGGGCGTTGCCCGGCGCGCTGGGCCCGCTCGGCAGCGGCGGATCGAGGCCGGCAGGCGCCGAAAATGCACGGCCACGCGGACCGTCGAGCAGGTGGCGGGCTGCAAGCGCACACGGCACTCCGCCGTCGTGCCCGCCACCGTCTGGAGGGGCGAGGTCTCGGGCTTCTCGCCACAGGAGATCGGGGAACTGAGTGCGAGGGCCATGGCGCTGGGCGGCCATCCCTTCATTGCCTCAGACATCCCCGGGGCAGCGCTGCCAGGCAGGTCGACCCCAGAGCGCGCGACGGCGCTCGTCGTCAAGAGGTGCGCAGAGGAGTTGCGGCGAGCTTCAGGCGCGCGCCAGCGCAGCGAGCGCGTTCTCAGCCCCACCGAGCTTCGCGGAGCGCGCGAGGCGGCGCCGGCTAGCTAAGACGGGGAGCTCAGCGAGGATGGCCCCGCGGGAGCCATGCTCCGCAGTCTCCACTGGGCGGGGTGGACTTCTCCTCCGGCGACTTCTTTCAGCTCTCTCAGCGCGGAGGCGATCAGCGCAGTGGAGGCCTCGCCCAGACAGCCGACGCGCATTTTCAAGCTCGACGCGCTGGCTCAGATCGAACAGCGGCCCGGCGAGACAAGCGAGCGCCGCTTCCGCTTCGGCGGGAGCTTCGCCAGCATCTGGCGGGGGGGCGCCCGGGCGGCTCTCAAGGGGAGCTACTGCAGCGCCCTGGAGCGCCACGTGATCATCTCTCAGGAGGGGAAAAAACACACAGACACAATTAATCGTCGACTCCCCGGAAAATATAGGAAAATATGGGAAGTGGGGGGAAAGACAACCCCCCCTAAAATATTGGAAAATATAGGGAATATCTTTATTTGTGTGTGTTTATTTGTGTGTCCTGGGGCCCCTTCAGAGAGGGCTCGCGACCTCGGTGAGCTTGCGGGCGGCACGCGCGCGACTTGCGGGGTGCCGGACACTCTCGCCCCTCGCGTCGGCTGCTGCCCCGTCGCTTCGCGGCGGGCGGGGCTGCGGAGACTGGCCGGCCTGGCGATCTCGAGGCTCGCCGCTCGCGCTGCGGCGCGCCTTGTCGCGGGGCCCGCGCCTGCCCATCGCCTCCGCCGCGGCTGCCAGAGCCGCCTCGTGGAGACGGGCGCGCTCTCAGCGGAGAGCGGGAGGTGCCAGTGATAGATGTCGTTGTTTTTTTTCCAGGCGGGAGGATGGCGGGGGATGGGTCTTGCTCCACCTCTCCTCCCGCATGCCTCGCGCGGGCGGGTGGGGCCGACGTCCAGTGGGATGCTGCGCAGAGCGTCCTACGCATGATCGTCGGCTCGATTCCTGTCGGGGTGGCGAAGCCCGCCGTCTGCGCCGAGCGCCAGTGTTTTATTACGGGCCCTCGATGTTCCGGACCGCACGCGCGCGCATAGGCGATTATTATTCGGTCCTGGGGTCGGCCAGGAGCGGGGCGGCTCACGCGGGCAAGTCCACGTCTCAGTTCGGGGGCTTTTGGAGGGCCCTCCCTTGGGAGGGCCAATCTCATGCCGGCGCTGTCAAACAAAAATGTCGCACGCGCGCGTCGTCCAGCAGCCTGCCACCGAAGCGGGGCGGGCGGCCCGGCTCAACAACCATGCCGGTAAGGGCGCGAAATTTGGAGTTCGCTTCCACGGCACATCCGCCTCGAGCGAGTTTCTGTATTGCTTGGGGCATAGTGGGCATTATAGGTCCCAGCCCCCCTCCCACCCCCTCTATAACGCAACGCCCCTCCCCCCCCAGTGCGCTCCGGGCATTGCCGCCGTGCGCACGGCGGGGGGAGGCGTTGCATTATACCACCCCCCCTGGCCCCTCCCCCTCCCCCGTATGATGCCCATTCTCGCCGAAAATATAGAAACGCGCTCTAAGCGCGCCTCCACGGCACATCCGCCTCCCTCGTCGCCGATCTCGAGGCCGCGTGCCGCGCGCGGACGCCGCCTCGAAACAGGAGCGGGCTGACCTGCGCGTGCCGCCCGCCTTTTGGGAGGCAGCCGCCGTAATCGCCCACGAACGCGTCGTGGTGGGCGGGAGTCGCTGGCAGCGCGTTCGCTGCCTGCGCTGCAAGTCGACGCGCGAGGCCGGCATCGATCGTAGGGTTAAGTCGGGCCTGTCTTCCTACAGGGGGAACGTTCGAAAATAGTTAAAACACATAGTTTTGGGACGATGTTGTTAGTATATTTGCGCATTTTGGGTTTTTTTATTTTTAGTATGTTTCGTCCAAAATCAGCCTGTAGGGGGGCATGCCCGACCTAATCGTAGGGATTGCCGAGGAGTCGAGTGTCGGCCTTCCAGTTTTGCACGAGTGGAGTCCCACTTGGGCCCCCACGGCGTCGAATGGCGTGAGCTTTCGGTCAAGCCTGGAGCTCCCGTCGGCGAAATGTTTCTGTTTGGCAAAAGGTGCCCCGTATACGCGACCAGGAAGCTTGCTGGTCTCGGCAGCCCTTACCCCGCCAAAAATCGCCCTGGGCGGACGATATCCGAGGAGGCGCTTCACAAGCGGAAGCGGCTCCTGAAGGGCCAGCACCCGAAGTGCGGCGAGACTGCGACGATACTCGCGAGCTTGTCAGTTTCCCGGACAGCGCTCTGAACGTCGGTGCCTACGTTTGTATAGGCCTTCGCATGGCGCCGCTTTTCGCTCGTTGGCTACCTTGGGCTCATTTCGCAGGAGGGGGATGGCGACCCGCTTCGATATGGTTGGTCTCATCTTTGTTTGGCGCCCTCCTCATGTTTCTCGTTCCTTTTTGCTCTTCCACTGATTCGAGCCCCCCCCCTCTTATCTCCTGACTCTAGGCCTTGCCAGCACCCAACGTTGCATCACCAGACAGTGTTCTTGATGTTCCTGCCCTCCTCCTCGTCCTCCTGATCATGTTCCTTTTCGCCCACCTGCAAGTCATCCTGTTGATCATTATCTTTCGTCTTCCTCGTCCTCCGCTTGTTCCACATTATCATCCTCTCTTCCCTGCTCTTCATCGTCGTCGTCATTTTCCTCCTCTTTCTCTTTCCGCCACGTCCTTTGAACGTTGAGGCCCACACCCTGACGCCCCCTGGCGCGTCAAACAATTGCCCCCCACAGCAGTGTGGACCGTGCAGTCCTCAAGCGTCAGCCTATGTTTACCAACACGGTTTTGGTATAGTTTTGTTCCCAGTGTAAGGTGCCAGGATGAGGTTTGGGAGGAGGGGCTAGGGAAATGGGACGGGCTTTTGGGCCGTTGTTTGCGAGCTACCCCCTTTCTCCTTTCTGCCAGCCCCTGGTACACTTCATCACTGGCTTTCTTTATGGCCTGCCCCTCATTTCTCTGTCCCCCGCCGTTGCCACCCCGCCGGTCCCAAGAACTGTTCCCTGCAGCATTCTATCGCTGGCGGCACGCGAAGCGAGCCTGCGATATCACATGTCCTTCTGTTCGTATCATCCTTGCGCGCGGGGCCGTGCGTGTCGCACCCGCGCCCTGCGTGCCGTGCTGAGCGTGACGTGCGGTGCGTGCCATGCCGTGCGTGTTGTGGATCGAGTGCGGTGCGTGCCAGGCCGTGCATCTAGCACGCGTGCTGGTTTTCTCTCTCTTCCAGCCGTGCGCCACCTACCTGTGCGTTCTGGTGCGCTCTCGACTCGCCCGAGCCACGCTGGACATGCATGACGGTCTTTGTGTTGAGGTGGCTATCATCGGAAATTGGAGCATATACATTACCAGTGGCGGGCGGTTTTTCAATCCCAGGACTTTTGGAGGGTAGGGGACGACGTCGGGGTGGTGTGGTGTATACTTTTTCTCTTCGTTTTCCTGGGGGAGCACGAAGAATGTATACACCAGGATCTCGTATACACCAGGATCCGCGTTCGTGTGCGAATTTCGGCGCAGGGTCTGAAACAGCGTCGGTGTATAGAGTTCGTTTCCCTATATCACGATGCGGGCACGGCGCCTCTTCATGAGCATGCGGGCTGTATTGCAACAAGTTTTCATCGGAGGTTGTTTCGCGACCAACGCCAGGAGCGCGCTCTCGCGCTATTGGATTTTACAGCGCGTGTGATTATGGGTTGTGCAGTTCGGGCGGTTAGAGATTTGCCTTTGCGCATGCTTTGCTGCACGTAGTGTGCTGTCCGTACCTTGCCGTGTGCGCCAGGGTTTGCCATGCTTACCTGCGCAGCTTTGTCTGGTCAATGATCCAGTCTTGTTGGCTATTCAGAGTCTCTTGTTCGAAGGCTCGGGGGGCTCACCGAAACCAAGACTGTCGCGCCATTGAGCCCCTTATCTCCGCCATCTTACTGCATCGGCAGACTTTGGGGTTCAGATGCGCTGAACGTCTCCTAGGTTTGGTGCACAGGTGGCGATGTAATGCCTGGGTCTTCATCAGGCGCCAGGAGGAAAAGCTCGTCCTAATCACGACTGGGTCTGCCCTGCTTCAGGCGCTCCCCTCCCTGGCCCACCGCTCCGTAGCGTGACCTCCCTCCCCTCACCGGCAGGCGCTGCTGGGAGATCAGCATCCGCAGACGCTGATGGCCAATACCCTAAGTGCTTCGATGGTCTGCACTGGATTGGGTTGGAGGGAGACCTCGAGGGCAACGATAGGAGGGGACAGGCATACGGGGGGATGCATCGATCCCCAATCGCCCATTGATCGCCGATAGGGCCCGATAGCCCCACCCCGACCAGGAAGGTGTGGATTCACTATCGGGGGCCTACCGCCGATCTATCGACGGTGTATCGCCGATTCCAGGTCGATGCACCCCCTCATGCATATCCCCCCCGATCGTTGCCCCTCAAGGCGGCTCCCACGGGTTTCCCCCCTTGTCCTCACTGCGGCGCATGTCGGTGCCTCTTTGCATGACTATATCCGCCTGACCCTGCTCGAGCTGCCCCGAGCTGGAGGCTGCCCAAACAGGTTTGGCGCCATGCTGAGAGCCCACGGGGCGCTGCCCTGGAGCGGCGATTCTCAGATCGATGAGTCTTGATGACCGGCGGATGGTCGTGCTCAGAATCGTTCTACGAGCCTTGTCGAATCACGGGGCGGGGGAGGGGAAGAGGAATCATGAGGAAGGGCGAGGGAGAGGACGTTGAGGTACAGTATCTGGAATACGAGGGACAAGAGAAGGAGCAGTAGCAGAGGAGATGCAGGAGTGTTTCGGAACGAAGCGCATGTCCATGTAGAAGTGTGTAGACATGCGTTTATACATACATGTGTGTACGTATGAACACATTGGACAAATCGTACACAAACCTGGCATCATACGCACATACCTACCTACCTACCTACCTACCTACATACATACATACATACATGCATACATACACAGCTATACGTATATGCACACGTTCATACATGCATGCATGCAAACACCCTACATACATACACGCATACATACATACATACATACATACATACATACATACATACATACATACATACATACATACATACACACACATACATACATACATACATACATACATACATCCATACATACACACATATATGCATGCATACATGCATGCATACATACATACATACACACATGCATACATACATACATACATACATACATACATACATACATACATACACACATGCATACATACGTACATACATACATACATACATACATACATACATACGCACACATACATACACACCTACATACATACATACATACTTACACACATACATACATACATACATACATACATACATACATACATACATACATACATACATACATATATACATACATACACACATACATGTATACATACATGCATGCATTCATACATGCATGCATGCATACATACGTACGTATATACATACATACACGTATACATGCATGCATACCTGCATCCATCCATATACAAACATACATACATGCATACATACATGCATGCATGCATACATACATACATACATACATACATAATTGCATACAAACATGTATACACACATACATACATACATACATACATGCATGCATACATACATACATACAGACATACATACATACATACATCCATACATACACACATACTTACACATCTGGTTGCATACATGCATGCATGCATACACACATGTATACAGCCATACATGCATACATGCACACATACAAACAGACACGCATGCATGCATTCATGCATATATGCATACAAACATACATACATACATACATACATACATACATACATACATACATAAGATCGTGCGTGCAAATCGGACGTCGCGTGTATCATTCGGATGTACTTGGGGAGGGCGTGGCCCTGTGAGCACGGACCGTCCGTATACTGCGATGGGCTGCAGCCCAGGGTGCGACACCCCACTAAAGCCGGACCGCATGACAGACTCTCCGAGCACTCGGGGTACCCGGGGGCCTCTTCGCCGGCCACTCGGGCTGTTCGCCCCTCGTGGCCCGTCCATGCGCGGGCGCTCGCCCGTCTGGCAAGGGGGCGCCGGCGCCATTCGGGGCGCAGGCCCGAAAGCCCAAGATCTGAGCACCTCTTGACTCTTGGGGTTTCTTCGCCCGCCGCTCGGCCTGTTCCTCCCGCGCGGCGCCTGCGCTCGCGGGGGCTCGACAGCCTGGCGCGGGATCCCGAGAGCCCAGGGGGTCTGGCAGGCCTGCCGGGGGGCCTCTCCGCCCGCCCTTCCCGCGTCTGTGCCTCCAGCGCAGCACGCCGTAGGAGCACAGGCCCAGGGCTGGCAGACTCGGGGTGGGCTCTCTGGTCGTGCCCCTTCAGCATCAAAGGGGGGGGGGAAATCACAACGACACAATGCATCGTCGATTCCCCGGGAAAGATGGGGGAACATGGGAAGGGAGGGGGGGGAAGACGAAAGCCCAGAAGATGTGAGAAAATATGGGGAATCCTTTTATTTGTGTGTATGTATTTGTGTGTCCCAGAGTCCCGTCATCAGGCTTTCGGGGCGGACGGGGCCTGCCACAGCAGCTTTCTCGTGCCCGTTGCGAAGCAAGCACGTTCCTCGCAAACCATCTGCAGTGCGCCTCGCCACGGGCGGGCACGCCGCACGGTGGCCGCAAAGCCGTTCAGTCGATGCAGATTTGCCTGCATTGCAGAATTTGTGTTTCTGCATTGCAGTTTCTGTTCTCTGCGCGCGTGGGTTCGTCTTGCCACGGACCGCCCCTGTAGGATATCGGGAATGGCGCGGACATCGTGTTGAAAATCGGGGCCGGGCGCGTGAACAGGCCCCTGGGCGCCACGGCTTGCGCGCTAGATGCAGGGGCAGAAAAGATGGGCCCCAGCCCCCGGTCTGCCAACCCATGGCCAAGGGAGTCTCCAAGCACGCGCGCGCTCGCGGGGGCTCATCCGTCTGGCAAGGGAGGCCCCAGCGCATTCAGGGCGCGCGCGCGAGAGCCCGAGAAACTGACAGGCACTCCGGGTGCCCTGGGTTTCGTTGCCCCCCCTTCAAAGGGCGGGGCGGTGCCGTGGCGTGGTGGCCGTCTCCTGCGGGGTAGGGGATCGGCATCGGCGACGGCATCTGCATCGCCGTTCCATGCATGGATGCCGGCGCCCATGACGTTGTATGATCCCATGTTGGCGCCCAGGTTGCACGTGAAACGGCTGGCTTCAATTGGGGAAACTTAGGTGAACCCTTGGCGAT